TTTTAGGTAAAATAAGTCTAGCCTTAGTCCTTCTACGACCGCGCACCCTTGCGGCCTTGTCGGGGCCGCGGACGACAGGTCATACCTCTGATTCCCGCTGTTCCGATCGAACATCAATGTCGTCCCACGTCAACGGCGTCAGGCTCTAGGACTTTCAGTTACAGGTTGGTCTGAATAACTTTTGGCAACGTCAATCTCATTAAGTCTCTCAATCCAAGAAGGGGTCGGGCAGTGTCTATCCTTGAAGAACTCGGGCAGAAACCCTTACAGGCGTTTCTGTCCCGACAGCCTTCCCTGCCCCCATTAAGCGACGGTTCCGTCGCTTACCATAAGCAATACTAGGGGGAAGTGTTTATAAGACCTTAGCAAATATATCATTGGAATCAATCCAGATTTTACATACACATACGCGACGAGTGATGTTTCCGTCGTTCGTCTTCCTTTCCTTTTATAATTTTCCGGATACTCTTTATGAAACTCTCCATGCAGACTTCATTACCATCAATGCAAAGGGCTTACTTTCAAGCCTTTAATAAACAACGGCTTACTTTCAAACCTTCAACACAGGGGCTTACTTTCAAGCCTCATAATTCTTTCGAACCTTCCTTTGAAAGCACTTTCCTTCAGTCACGAGTTGGAATGGGGCCAGAAATAACCTCTGACAGACCTTTCCCCAGAATCTGGAATCCACTGTTGGCTCTGCCCAACCTGAGGAATTACAAGAAGATTTTAGAAGAATGATCCCCGCATCATCCCATTGGCGGCCACTCATACTCTTTTTTTGTCTCTCATAGATGGGTCAGGCTTATCCCCCTGATGGGACTCTCTTCAGGCTATAACCCCCTGTCTAGGTCTCGTCAGGCTTAACCCCCTGCGGGTCTTTCATCATTACAGCACATACTGCCAGGAATTTAACCTGAATCTCTTATGCTCATGGGGATGCATTACTAACATCTTAGCATGTCTCTCGCCGCTAGGAGATTAACTCGGGCTCCCCACGAAACACAAGGGTACTCACAATATACTACAGCATGTGCCGGCACCATCCCAGAGAGGAATCATCCTTTCCAAAAGTCCTTGTCCAGTCCGGCTAATTCCCATTCCAACTTAATTGTCATGCACGATTTATCTCCTTCATGTTTTGTGAATGCGTCGAGGAGTGGTGTAATCCATAAAGGATAACATCTCCACGCCAAGCCCCGCTTTAGACTCGAGCCTCACCACTTTCCCTCCGATTCCAGTGTCATACATCTGTTAGTACCCTACCTGCAAGGTTGAACTACCCCTCCCTTATGACCTAAGCTGATCAGACCCGGCCATAAAGTCGAGGAGACTCCATTCGCCACAAAACAAAAGGTGATCAATCTTTTCCTCATGGCGAGCAGTAATCGTCACCCTCACAAACAAGGCTCCAACAAACATATTACCACCTTCCTCCCTTTCAATGATAATGTAGCCACTTCCCTCGAAAGAAAGGACGACAACATCTCGCTATGGACCAGGAACAAAGTTCCGGCACAGGCCTCACCACCGTCTACGAGACTCACAACATTAAGATTCCTCATTGCATGACAATTGAAACAATGCCAAGTCGTAAGGCATGACGAACAATTGAATCACATATCCGATGAAAAACATCTGTTAATCCAGCCAGACATATGACCCTTAGTACACATTATCTCCTTAGACATGCACTCACATAAATCTCACATTCATAACCACATACACGGAGTTTCATAAGAATTCCAGGTCCTACAATTCTTTATGTATGTGATGAATACTTTAATAACATAAGTATCCATCAGCTACTTCACAAGATTCTTCTTGCAATGAACATCCAATCATGATAAAAATCTCACCAAGTCCTTTCCTATCACTCTTTTACTTTACAAACAGTATCCATAGCGACAATTGTGAGAAAAATATCATAGTCATCTTACAACTGCCTGCGACAGTAAGACACATATCCATTATTACAAAACAACAGGAGTCACAATCTCATTGATAGCCTTTCAATCTCACTACTTTTATTAGTAGTTTACAATTTCCTTGGCTAGCCTAAGACAAAAGTCAGAACCAACTGAACCACAATACAAAAGCAAGAAAGTTACCAAAATTGATGCCACCAATTACCTCCTCTCCTTTTTCTTTCTACCAAATCTTTTCATTAAACTCTTGGAATGAACTTCCGTAGATGTGCACCTAATACCCAATTCCTACTTCGGGATCCATCCAACTCCTCTATTTCATATGCCCCATGTTCTGTTTTCCTAGTGATTCGATATGGTCCTAGCCACCGACTGTCTAGTTTTCTGGACACTGTTTTCTAGCGACAAATCATACAACAAGACGATGTCTCCCACTTCCAACGACTTTTTTCGTATACGTGGCCTCTTGTCCCATCTTTCCTTGTCAGCCTGCCTGCTTTCAGAAGTAGAGACAGCCGCATCCTCAATCTGTTCTTCAGTCGCCATGATCTGTCTTGCCCTCAATTCCAATAACTCTGCCGTCGAAAGTTTCGTTTCCATATCCTGTTTTTGCCAAGTGTTCAGGAAACTCTCAATAAAGTCACATGCCGTCCAAACCATAATGTGACGGGGGCATACCCGGTTGTTCGCTTGATGGTAACATTCTCAACAAAAAAGGCTGCCCTCAAATAAATCGGCCATCTTGATGGTTCCCCCTTGCACCATTTAGCCAACAAGTTAAACAAGGTGGCATGTCCTCGTTCCACGGGTGAATTGGTTTGGGGATGTGCTCTTGTCGAATTGTCTCGTGCATCAAAGATATATCTGTACCCATTTATACCAGGTGGCATTACCAAAAGATCCAAATGCACCACCGCACCCGGTTCTGCCACATAACGTGGACTTAGGGGTTCGAGGTAGCGGATATTAGACCTCTGTTGGCAAGGGAAACAAGATTTACAGAAGTCGATCACCATCTTGCTCATCCCTTCCCAAAAATAAAGACGTTGGATCTTGTTCAACGTTACCCGCGCAGATCTGTGTCCGCTGGCTACCCCATCATGTAGAGCAGCAATCACATCCAATTGTCGGGAGGTTCCACATACCACCCTCTTTGGGACATCATCAACAACTTTCTTAAAGAGATGACCGTCACGAACAACGAATCTTTTGCTCTTCTTTCGCACAACCGGATCAACCTCATTTTCATTCAATTCCCCATTCAACCACATGCCTATCTCTTTATACTCCCCTTCGTACTCCTTTTCCTTAAACGCTTCTTTGACCTCACTGCCTCCTTCCTCCGCATTCATTAACCTCAGGTGATCCTCATGAACCAACTAGTTCATGATATATGACATCCTTCCAACGGTTTGGAAAGCGTCATCAGTCTGCGCATGACCCTGTTCAATCGTTAGCGGATCAAGCATAAGGTCGATGTCACCGGTCAAAGCCAGCCTCATCATTTCCTCTGTTTTCTGCTCGCCCCATGGGTCCTCCTAAATGAAAGGTTCCTTCATCACGAGCTCTGACCGTACCTCGTGATAGGTAGGAGCACTCCATATTGATTTCCCATGCCGAGTGGCTGCATCAGTCAGGTAGGCAAGAAAGTTAATACTCAATCGCGACTCCTCCTCCTTCAGAAAGACATCGACCGGAACTGATTCTTCTGCCTGATCCGACTCTGGATTCCATTCAACCCGACTTAGCCCATCAGCGCGATTCTGACTCCCCAAAATCCGTTCAATTTCAAAGTCAAACATCCAAATATAAGTCAACCATCGTGCAATAGTAGGATCAGCAGGTGAATAATTCCTTAAGGATTGAGCTGATGCAGTCGGATCCACCCGCTGGATGAAGCGTCTACCAAACACATAATTTTGAAAGATACGGAAAACGTGAAGTACAACCAAAGTTTCCTTTTTGAACTGAGAATAGTTCCTCTCAGCAACATTCAGAGTTCTGCTCTCAAATCTGAGAGGCATTTCCTGTCCCTCAGCATCCTTCTGAACTAAGACCCGTCCTAGGGTTGTGGGCCCCGCATCAGTCTCAATAACAAAAGGACGTTTTTCATCATCGTCGAAAAAGGGAACTCCAAGGATCAATCCGCCCTCACGAAACTCAGTCTTTATATTCTCCGCGGCCTCTTGTTGCTTCGGACCTCATTCCCACTTCTGGCCTTTGCACACAAGCTGTCGCAAGTGCTCCACTCTGGCGGCAAACCTGCGGATGAAGATGCGTTAAAATCCACAGGTTCCGAGGAAACTTCGCACATCTGTGATCGACTTGAAAGGGGTCGGCCATTCCAAGATTTTATTAGTCTTCTTCGCATCAGGCCGACGACCTTTCTCATCGCAAAGGAATCCCAAGATCACTGGTCTCTTCATACAATGCCGAGACTTAATCCCACTAGCTGTGAGATTAAATTCCTTCAACCTCTTAAGAATTTTCACCACATCACTGATGTGCTCCCAGACAAAGCGACGAATGCCCGGCAACACCTCCGCCAGGTCTTTCGTTCGAGGCCCTGGAATAGCAAAGTTGTCAATATACGGTGAAGTTATGTCAGGACAATAAGGCTGCATAACCCTCGTCATATATCTCTGAACAATGACAACTGCATTCGTCCACCCCTGCGGCGCCACACACATATGGATCAATCCACGAGGACTATGCATCGCCATCTTGGGCCGATCCGCAGTGTAAATGGAAAATTGATCATACCCGGAATATAAATCAATGAGGGTGATGATAGACCTCCCTGCACAAGATTCCGACAGTAGGTCTGCATGTGGGAGCCCACCTGCATCTCGCACTGTTACCGAATTCAGCTTCTGAAGGTCCTGAATCCACCGTAAGGTACCATTCGGCTTGATGAAACTGAACCATGGAGATGCATATGGCCCGTACGAATAATCTGCAACCTTCGTCCGGATTTTTCCATCAAGATACGCGACCACTTTACGGTGATCCTCCGAATTCGGATAACGTGGCCCTCTCACATTCCATGGCTCATGTGGTACAGTATGAACTCTAATCATCGAAATTTTATCAACATCCAGCCTTCCCCGCTCATCATCATCAAACGCATAGGAGAGATGTTCCTCCCTCAATATATCGATGATATACCCTTTTTCTTGCTCAGTAAGGAGGTCCTCCTCCCCAATGATCATACTTTCCACTCTTTCCTTGGTTAACCGACATGGGTCCTTTTCACCTCTCTCTTTCATTTCTCTGATCCACTCGCGCTCCTCACGATAATAGACTTCCTCCTCCTGGGTGATCAGAACAGGTACCGGCTTCGCCTTCACGCCTACTTTCTTGTACTTACGTTTGGCGCCGGTGTCAAGCCTGCGTCCTCTAAAAAAGGACCCTGTTGAGTGGAGGTCAATTCCTCATCTTCTCCCTTATTCCCCCCCGGCGGGGAGTAAACAAGGCGCATAGTTCCTGCGCTTCCGGTGTCCGTGATGATCTCCGTCAATGCCTGCACCACATTCGGATCGATCGCCTCATGTGTCGACACGAAATCGATTGCCTGCCCAATATCAGGTAGGGTCAGTGAGAACTCACGAGCATTCGGCTCCTCCCCTAACGATTCCTTCTCCTTCCTCAACTTTTCTGACTCCGGAAAGGTATAGGATTCCGGGTTCAGCCGGTTCCGTGAGCAATAGGGGCCAGTGTTCGCACACTTGACCACTTCGTAATAACCGCAGACAGGATCGCAAAGGATTACAAACATGGTTCCATCATGCTTGTTAATGATGATGCTTTCCAACCGACGTAGGAACGCCCTTCCCAGAAGCACCTCGTGTTCCACCCTAGGTAACACGTAAAAGTAAGAGCGGACTTTCACCTTTCCGACCGTGACGAGAACGCCACTGGCTGTCCCGCAGAATGGGGTCGATCCGCTAGCGCCCACCAGAAACCCATAGTCATCTCGGTTGATCTTTAACCGAGCTTCAATGGCATGGCGCTCACGAATGATATTCATCTCGGCTCCGTCATCCACAAGTGCCGAGTACTCCAGCTGTCCAATCTGGACCTTCATATGGCCGGTTGATACACTTCGTCAATCCATCTTCGTCCCAGGCGGGGATCAGTTAGCCTCCGGCGGAATGACTTCGCCGAGCTTAACAGTCATGAATCTCATGCGAGTCATTCGCTGTTTAAACTCTTCTCGAATCTTCGGCGATACCGCTAAAATTTCCTTCAGCGTGACCAAGTCGCGCCGACTTTCCAGAATCTTATCGACGAGTCGCTCGATATCGACCCCCTGCTCCACGGGGATCGAGTAAATATTTTTCTTCTTTCGCGGCTCTTCCTCGCTTGCTTCGGCCTTCCCTTTCTTCGGCTCCCTTTCCAGTGCACGACGACGAGCCCGTTCTTCCTCTTCGGCCCGCAACTTCTCATCCTCGTTATCCTCATCGTTCTCACTAACAATGATAGACTCTTCTTCCACCGCCTTTTCAGACTCTCTTTCCTTCTGAAGCAGCTCGTTTCGTTGCCGCATCCGAGTCTACACGGCTACAGTCGGAGCACTCCTCTTTAGCACAGGCCTAGGTCGCATCGTGCTTACCATTGGCCCAGTTTGCGATGTTTCTTTCGGAGCAGGCGTCCCTGCTTGGCCGGACGCCTCTTCCCTTTTATCACCCCATTCGCCGAAGCGAAAGACACTCGGCAATCCAGGCCAGACTTCCTCCATGTCCACGCAAAGTCGAATGATAAAGTCCCAACATCGACCAAGCCGCCTAGTGATGGTTTGCGCTCATTCCACCACTTGCTCCCTAAACCCTTCTGGTTCCACCACCGAATCGTCAATATGTAACAACACCATAGCCTCCTCAACCTCGGCCAACCACACCTCTTCAAGAGAAGCAATCCGAAACGTCGCCGGCAGCGGACGACCCATTTGGCGAAACGCCTCCTTCCTCATACCCCCTTCAATGTTGGGGTTGATCAAGTTCCCTTCGTAATCAAAGACTTCACCGCGTATCGTGGTGAAGACTATCCTCTCCTTCTCATTTTTTGAAAGGAGTTGGCAAAACCGCATAATATGGCCCTTTTCTGCGCAATAGTTACATGTGGCTTCCTGCTGCCACGCCCAACGGCTTCGCTGTCCGTTCCCACTGCCTCGACCGCGGCCTCTTCCACCCTGCGGCTGAAACTGCCCTTGATCCTGAGAATTTTGTTCTGACGAACCACCGCCAGCACCTCCATTCCCTCCTTGATTATTTTGTCCTCCATTCTTTCCCTGTTTACGGGAAGTCCCCTGTCCGCCTCGAATTTAATTCAAGACCTTCTTCTCCGCCTTTGTCAACTTACGAGGCGGCTCCTTTTCCTCCTCGCTCTCACTGTCGCTTTCTTCTTCCGTCGGCTCCTTCCCCTTCCTCTTACTCTTTTTCTCTTTAGCCAGCATGACTTGAAGCTTCAGCCTTTCCTCTTTCATACCCTCTATCATCTCTCTCATGTAGGTCAAAGTTTTGTAAATCTCACCGTCCTTCACCTCTCTCAGCTTCACCTTTTTCCGTTCCTCCTTTTGTTGCCTCAACAGCCGGTAGAGGATATCGTCGAACTTCCCCACCAGCGCATTTTGCCGGACCTTAGTCTAGTCATACCTCTCTTGCATCCCTTCAACCAATTTCGGTTGTTCGACGTCGTTGAAGTTATCAAGGAAGATGAGGCAGCGATCTCTGTCGGACAGATCCGGGATAAGGTGAGCCACACGCTCAAATTCCGATAAAAATTGTTTGGTAGTACCAAACTTTTTACAATCCACCACCCTCAAATCCTGCAGGTTGAGCAACCGGTCGCTTAGTTGGTACTTCTCCAACAACCACGCCTTAAAATCTGACCAATCACGAGAGATCCGCACCAGCTCATCGATCTCGTCTCGGTACCCCACCTGATAGTACCTTTTAACCATGCGAAGCATCTTCTCATTTGTCCATTCGTTGCTATATCCCAGTTGCTCGAACTTGTCTGCCCAAGAAGAGGCATGATTCCCGTCGAACAACGGAACATCAATCTTAGGGTAGGGCTCTCACTGCGACTGTCAGATGACCCGTGCCAGTTCTTGAACGTCATTCCTCCCATCGTCGTCGTTGTCGCGACGTCCTGCGGCACCGGCCATCTAGGGACCAAAACATAAACCCAAGAAATGAGTCTAGGAGGTTTGGTAGCATCTATTAAGGTTCCTTCCTTACACTTATAGAGGTCCAGAGATTACTAACCATTTGTCTTAGACAACCATTACGACATGATTTTTTACTTGCTCCATTCCCGAGTGTCGTTCCACCAGGGACAACGGTAGTTTGCCGTTATCCCCGACAACGGCGCCACCTGTCGAGCGCATCGGCCCCCGCGCGAGCGAGGGCCCTCCCGGCCACGTCACGCAGGTGAAACTTAGTCTTTCAACTTTTTTAGAGACAACTTAGGGACGACACGGTAGCCCGCGCCGACCCTTCGCCGCTCCGGCCGAGTGCGCCAGCTGTACATCCCGCGGTCCCCTACGACATGATAGGTTCTCGCGGGGCACAACTTACCTTCCCTAAGGGGCTGTCACCATCCTTAGGGGCGTATCCCCACCGAGCTTCCGACCCACACCCGAAAGCTTTTATAATGCAATTGAAGAGGTAGGCCGACCGAGGGCGTTTGATCGTTCGCTGTAGCATAGGTACGCATGGTTAAACGCCAAAGTGGACCCGAACGCCGTCTGTCCCTGGGGCGCTGCTCTCCCAGGAATCGGACCAACGTCGGTCGACTAGGACGTGATATTCCAAGTGTAAGAAAATCTCAATCAATCCTAAGCCCTTTGTTCAAAGACAATCAATAGTTAAACAGACAAAATGCTTTCAACAGAAGGCACAGGTCAACGTAAGTTGACTTATCTTCTGAAATCAACCTATATGTAATACAATCATGCGTACGACACAGGTTGACTTGGCTTCAAACAACACTTATCAACGAAATATCAAAACATGACCTATACACAATGCGACACTTAAGTGACGTCTAACTAAAGTATCTTCATTCTGCGTGTCATACGGCTAGACTGTCACAACTTTTTCGACTCGATGAGATGCGTTGCCAAGTTGTTTTTTATTCCGCCCCATACTGACTGCTAGAAAGGAATATGGGCACCCCAACTCTCATGTAAAGTTGGGATGCTACTGTTTCAGTAATGACGTCACCACCTTTCTAACTTTGGTGTGAATGTGATTTGCAAGTAGTCCGGCTACCATTATACAAATCAGCGACCGTCCTGAACAGTCGAACACTCGATGCCCCATTATGACCAAGGATCCGCTTCCAATTTTTGTGGGTCGCTTTGTCCTCTTGTGCAGTAATTACTCTTTTTTGTTCCACGAGTGATGAAATACCAGCTTGCGACATAAAGATATCCAAGACAACGCTCTAGTCACGTCTTTTTGTCAACTAGCCTGATTGCCCCAGGCTTGCACTTC